ATTGGATCTTAGTCGGAATCATCTTGGATCAAACAAAGGAAAAGCATTAGCTGATGCACTTTGCAAGAATACCATGCTTACCTTTTTGAATCTTTTGAAGAACAACCTTGGTTCAGAAGGAGGAAAAGCATTAGCTTATGCGCTTTGCAAGAATACCACACTGACTTCTTTGGATCTTAGCCATAATGATCTTGGATTAGAAGGAGGAAAAGCATTAGCTTATGCGCTTTGCAAGAATACCACACTGACTTCTTTGGATCTTAGCCATAATGATCTTGGATTAGAAGGAGAAAAAGCATTAGCTATAACACTTTGTAAGAACATTACGCTGACTTCTTTGAATCTTAAATTTAATAATCTTTGATTTGAAGGAGAAAAAGCATTTGCTGTTACACTTTGCAAGAACACTACGCTGACTTCTTTAAATCATAGTCAGAATAATCTTGGATCAAACGGAGGAAAAGCATTAGCTGTTGCACTTTACAAGAACACCACATTGACCTTGAGTCTTGAATATAATAATCTTGGAACAGGAGGAAGCTTTGGCAGCTGCGCTTTGTAAGAACACCTATCTTTCTTTTTTAAGTGTTAATTGGAATAATATTGACCAGAAGGAGGAAAGGTATTAGCACATGCACTCTGCGAAAACATAACACTGACCACTTTGAACATTGCAGGAAATAATCTAGGATCCGAGGGAGGAAAATCATTAGCTAATGCACTTTATAAGAACATTATGCTGACTTCTCTGGATCTTTATTATAATAATTTTGGGCCAGAAGGAGGAAAGGCATTAGCGGATGCACTTTGCAAGAACACTACGCTGATTTCTTTGAATCTTGCAGGTAATAATCTTGGATCAGAAGGAGAAAAGCATTAGAAGATTCACTTTGTAAAAACATCACACTAGCTTCTTTGAACCTTTATTATAACCACATTAATTTTAAATTAAAACCAGACAATCGAGTCATAAAAATAATACAATAACAATTAAATGAACATGACAAATGGCTCATCACACAGTTAATGTAAATACAGAAAAAATTATAACAAACACATAATAAACAAGTTCATATTTCATTTCTCGAGTTTAGCAAAAAATTTACATTTACAATTGATTTTGTGCGAAGATAACGTTTACGAATTTATTTACTAAAATACGATTTACAAACTATAGCTCCTAAAATGAAATTTGGAATTCGAGGATTAAAAACATATCCAGAAATTCATAAAGTATAGTCTATACTGTTTATATTTCATACTATTCGTCAAAAATGGTTTCATGCGTTTCGGCAATGTATGCATTTAGGCCATTAATGCAAACTTCATTTATTTCGTATCGCTTGTACGCATCAACCATAACATTGTTGTTAATTAGTCGCTTGTGAATATGGCATAGCGATCAGAAATTATGTTATTCATGAAATTTTTTATTCATTTATGAAAGTGTATGCATTTATGTTAAACATTAGGGGTCTGCAAGTGGGCATGCCGGGCACATTGGCACCATGCCATACACTAGTGCCTCATGCCGTTGTTACTATCGGGTTGGGAGAGCGTCAGTTTATTGGGTGCCAAAATAGATCAGGATAGTAACCTAGCTAGATAACTTAGGGGAAAAGACGTGGGGGTAGTGCGGGAGTTCTATTTAAGAGGGAAACCTAGGGACTGTTATATACGAATGTTGCAGATATGAAACTGAAACGTATCTGCTTAAAATAATTTTAAGAGATGCGTGCTGAGGGTTCACGATATGTATAAGAGATGCGGATGAATGAAATAATCCCGATCGTCAATTGTTGACAATCCTAAACGGGATTGATTTAAGGCGTGATGGATAAATCTGGGTGGGTTAACAATGGAAAGGTGTGAGAACGTGAAGATGTATTCACGATACAACAACGAAATCGTGAAGATGTATTCATGATAACAAACTGATGCAAACAAAATTGGAAAATCAATAAGTTCAATGTTAGCCTTTAATGCTAACAAGAAGTGTGGGAATATTATAGTTCAATCTAAGTTTTAATCAGCCTTTTAAGTGTTTCAATTATAAAAGTTAGAGAGAAATGTTTGAGAGCAAAGTCTAAAGAATCTTTATTGAGGGCTAGAAAGCCAGTACTTAAATACATAATTTTCTTTATATAAATAAATTAAACTATCTTATTGTTAGAATATATTTCTCCCTTCTATTTTAACACCTCTTCCTTCTACCACCAATAACCCTTTTGTAGATGACTAAGAGCATTATAATAATTGAATGCCTTGAGTTCATCTTTTTAATAAATGAACACAACTTATGTATGAATCAGACGATTCATATATCTTATTAACACTTGTCATAGATAACCTTCTTGAATAAGGTTATTGATGATAATTAAAGAGATGATTATTGGTGTTCCTATAAAACCATTTTATGAGGTTTTGGGATTTTCCTTTTGCCAATAGGGTTGGTGAGATGTTGATCCATGCTGGTGTCACATAGTTTACAACACTACATGTATTACTTGACTTTCCTATCGATCTTATTCGCTTGGCTTTTATTTACAATGACTGGAGTATCATATAGGTACTCCACTGATAATGTATTCACATAGATAACACAGTTTGTTCACTTAGAATCAAAGCTAGGCATTTCCTCTCTTTGGATCAATGCCTTATACATATATTGATACTAATTGCTAATGATTACTACATTGTTCATGCAATCACTATTTTAGATTTTTAATTAATCATGATCACTTGATATATTATCATTAATTAGATTACAGATCAACACATACCCGATCACTAATCACATGGGTACTTCTATCCAATGATTATTCAGGGTATTAAGAAACACTGCGACACTGGGTCAAATTAATGATGACTGATTATTTTTTGAGATAATATCAGACTGCTTAGAGTAACAGATTTCAGGGCTCAAGATACAGAAATTACCAAATTAGTAATAATAATGGTTTCATATAACACTACAATCTTAGAAAAATTACAATATATACCTAATTGCATAATTATATAAAGATAAAAACAAATAAAGGAAGATAACAAACAAACAAAAAAAAATAGCAAACAAATAAAAAAGTAATAGAAATAAACAAACAAAAAGAAAAAGAAAAAAAAATCTATACACAAAAAAAATATTTGAAGGGAGTTGTAACACTGTGCCTATACCTTAGACACAAAAATGCTAGGCATTATTGTAGGTATGAGCACAAATGCCAGATATTTTATGGGTATAAGCAAAATATGCCAGGCACTATTATAGCATAGCACAATATGCCAAGTACTATTATAGTATAGCACAATATGCTAGACAAAAAAGTGCCAAAAAGAACTAAGCACAAGTGCCAGGCAAAGTGCTAGGCAAAATTAATTAAATTTTTGTGTTTGTGCCTATACCTATGCCAAATCTTTGTGCATATACCCATGCCCATGCCAAATTTTTGTGCCTATACCCATGCTTATGGCAAATTCTTATGCTCATGCCTATGCTCATGCCTTTGCCTATACCTTTTGTTGGGCACAGATATGGGCCCAGTTTGCAGACCCCTATTAAACATTAGTCAGTATATATTCACAATTTGATAATACTATATATCTATCTTGGAAATATAATTTTTTTTTTACAAAGGTATTTTTTATAAACAACTTTGCTTAGAAAATTAAAAATTAGACCACCATCAATGCAGCATAAGTTGTTTACTATACTTCCAACTTATGCTAAGTGTTGGTAAAAATAATAAAGCCAAAAATTTTTACTATATACTCAAGGCAATTATTATGTGGTTCTATTATCTTATAGCTAGCACCAACTTTGTCAATTACTAAATTTTTTTTATATAAAATGCCTTCAGCATAGTCTAAATAAATAATGAGTGGACTAGGAAAGTATCACTTAGCGCTTTTACCTGTTTTAAGATTTTTTAAAATTTTGGTTCTAAAAGCGAATCTGGTTCTAACTTTGGCATTAAGAAAAACCCTAATAAAGTAACTAAATACGAAACCTTCAGTTCTAGTGTAAGATTGTGTATGCTCCATAAGTGCTGTGGCACCAAGTTGAAATCAAAAGAGGTATCGTCAAGTGCTGTGTGTCTGTTAACGAACCTAACGAAGCCCCATCTGAGCTAAACTAACACTAGAAGCCTGTTTAGTGTGTACCCACTTGATACTAATACTAACTTTTTTTGGATGAGGTTCTCCAGCTTCTCTGTCACTATCTTTGTATATATAATGGCCTCTTTTTTGGTTCGTATACATATCAGTATGTTATCTAAATATCTATTATTCTTATTCTTTTGGATCATGCCTATGCAATTACCAGTTTTAGAATCTTTGTAAATACTCTTGGACTGCTTGTCAGCTCAAAAGATAAGCAATTAAATTAGAACTGACATTTGTTAAATTCGAAGCTAAAATAAGGCTGAGAATGTAAAGATAAAGATATATGCCAGAAAATATCTATTATGTCTACTGATATAAAATGATCGTTCCTTTGAACTATGGTTTTTACGTGTTCGATAGTTTCTATTTTGAAATGGATAAAGCATATATAAGAGTTTATTTTTCATAAATCTATAACTACTCAAGAGCTATTATTTTTTTTGGTAATTATAAAAATATTCGATAAAAAGCATTGTTCATTTTCTGTAACTTCTCTTATTACACCCTTTTGAATTATTATACCTATTTCTTGTTTGATTAATTTGCTGTCTTGTCTTCTTGTTACTATTATCTGTTGTAACTTCTGCTTTCATAAGAGGGGTAGATTTATCTATTTGGGAGTATAGCCTTCTGATATTATAGTTGTTACCTATGAATATCCCATAGTTTTTCCCTATACATAGATATATTAAGCTAATCTTCTCCCAATAATATTCATATTCTGAGTTATTTAGAATTTTGTGACTGGCATCCAGTTATAGTTGTCTAAACTTCCATTGCTCATTTCCCTGATTGTTATTATTATTGAATGTTCTTTTATAGAACTAATAATTTGTTCAGCTTATATTATTTTTATTGTATATAGAATAAAAAGTAGTTGGCCTTTTAAAATTACTGGTATTGCTTCGATTTGAAGCATGAGCCTTGTTCCTAAAAGCTTCATTAATAAACTTGTTTGTAGCACTCTCTCTTTCAACCAAATCCTTAAGATCTTCCCCAAATACTTTGTTTATATCCAAGAGGTTTTGATAGTTTGGTGAAATAGTTTTAAGGACCTGTTGCCATCTTGAATCATTAATAAAAGATAATGAGTCAAATAGTAATGTCCACGTATTAGTAAGTGATGTTTCAATATCCTCACATACTTGCAATGCCAAATAGTCACTGTTGATTGATATAATGCTCTAAGTATATTATCAAGTGAGCGAAGTACTGCAGATGTTCTGTATAATATTTTTGTCATAAATTTATCTAATTCTCTAGATTGAGGGGATAGTAACTTCCACATTCTTTTGCCTATAGTCGGTAGAGAGTATTTAATATTAGAGTTTCTTGGTTCTTTCTTAAGAATTGCAGCTTTTTGTTCCTTAGAGAGTGTGTTATCTTTGTGAATTCTTGAAGAATGCTTATACATTTCTCCTGATAGAAGCCAAGAGCCTGGTAAGTTCATTTCCAATTGCCTAATTTTGTCAAATTTCAATAAACTTTCACATTTAAGTGAATTTAATATGTCTGATAGATGTTCATTGTACAACGTGTTAACAGGTACATCATCATTTTCTTAGAAATTAATTCTTCCTGGAGGTTGGCGTCTTCATTCTCATTATTGTTAAGAGAGTATCTATCTAAAGGTCCAAACCGGATAAATCCGTCATCCATTTATCCATATCTGAATTTATCCGGATATCCATTTACTATTGGTATCCGGATAATCCGACAAATATTCGGATAATTATCCGGATATCAATAGTAAAGCAGATATCCGAATAAATTCAGATCTGGATATCCGATAGATAAATGGATAAACGGATAATGGATAGGAACTCTATTATCTATCAAAATTATTAAAAGCTTCTGTCATAATGGGATGTTAGTATTACAGAATGGACCACAGCCAAAATAAAACGACCTAAAGAATAAGTAAAAAGCTATTCCCTATATATATATATATATATAAAAAAAAAAAAAAAATCAAAATCACGGTAATCTTCTAATATTGTACTATGTATTTGGATATAATAAAACAGGCCAACTACACGTGATATTGTCTATCGTAGTGAGTGAAGTTCATTTTAGTATTGGCCGAAAAATTGGCTTATTAGTTAAATTGATCAAATTTTTAAAAATTGGCTTAGTTGCAAATTTAGAAGATTTAGGAACACTAAACAATATTACAAGTCATTAAGAATCGACTTTGCTGCAAATGAAAAATTGTTACGCAACTTGGCGAATTGAATTTAGACATGTGACCAACCATGCATGTACGTACTAGGGATGGTAAAAAATCATTTTTCACCGATTTAAATCATTCGATGATTATACTCCAGATATGCTGAGGTTTAAATTTAATATATTCGGATCATAATCATAACATGATTTAAATCGGTGAAAAATGATTTTTGCATGTACGTGGCACCGACAGAATTTCGCTGATCTGCAATCTAGAACATTTTGATTAGTTGATTTTTAATTTTTAACCGTTTTTTTAAAATCCTAGCGATATTTTCCCACTAACCATTCAATTAAACTTAATAAATAATTTTATTTTAATTCTATACATCCGTTGAATTAAAATAAAAAAAATTTCATTGAATTAGGATAGTTGGCTGTCGAGAAATCTTCGCTAGAAGTTTAAAAAAAATATAGAAATTCTTTGGAAAAAAAAAACCAAAATCGGACGAATTTTTTCTTTTTTTATACTTTAAATGATGATTTCTTGACAAACAACTATCCGAATTTGGTGAACTTTTTATTATTTTACTGCTATTATCATAATTCCTGAAACACCTGATAAAAAATTAGCCGAATAATTTTTCAGCCGATTCGATTAAGTTAGTGATCTCTATAAATTGATATGATACATATGTACGTATATAATTTAGGATCAGATGATTAATATAAATATTATACCAATACGAATACTGTATCTTAAATCAAATACAAAAAACATTGATGCTTTCAAACATCTTCGCTGACGAATGATTAAAAAATTTTTTTTTAGGAAGCTTATCATTTCGAAAATTGTGAACACTAGATGTTAGTATGTCATTATGAGTCCAGTTTTCAAGCACCTTTGAAGATATAATATATTGAAAATTTCTATGACATATATTAATAAAATTAAGATTTTTTGAACGGAATTTTAGTTATATCTTTAAACTAGTCGACAAAATTCTTGACCATATCTCGTGTAATATGTTTATTATAAATGTCTATTTTATATCTGGAACCTTTTTATATTTTTGTCAATATTTAGTTTTTTCTGTAAGCTTTCTATAATAACATTGAACGTATCGTTTTTTGTGTAAATTTGTATAAGTTTCTAATGTCAAAGTTACATATAATTTTTGTTATATGAATAACTTTGGCCAAAACTTTCATAGAGCCGGCACATAAAGTCTAGTAATGGTGGCAAAACTTTTGCGCCATTGCACTATTTAATGTAAAAGTTACATACAATTTTGTAATTTTACTGAATATATTATTCCGAAATTACAAACTTAACCGAATCAGCCGAAAAATCATTCAGCTAATTTTTATCGGGTGTTTCAGGAATTATGATAATAGCAGTAACTCTGTAGCTTCATAGAATTAAAATAAAAAATTTGATCAAATTTGAATAGATGAATGTCGAGTAATATTCATTATGAGTTAAAAGAAAAATTTGGTTGCAGCTTTTCTTTTATATGCGCCTAAACTTTGAACGAAGATTACTTGGAAATTACCTAGTCAAATCTGATCAATTTTTTTTTTATTTTAATCTATAATCACATAGAATTAAAAAAAAAAATTTTGATCAAATTTGACTAGATAATTGCCGAGTAATCTTCATTCAAAGTTTAGGTGCCTATAAAAAGAAAGCTGTGGCCAAATTTTTTTAACTTATAATGAATATTACTCGACATTCAGCTATTCAAACTCGATCAATTTTTTTTTATTTTAATTCTATGAAGCCACAGAATTAAAATAGAAAAAGTTTCACCAAATTCGGATAGTTGGTTGTCAAGAAATCTTTATTTAAAGTTTAAGTAAAATTTTTGTTGCAGCACTTCTTTTTTATAACTTTTTTTAAAAACATTTAATTGATGATTTTTTGAAAATTAATTGTATGAATTTGATAAAACTTTTTTATTTTAATTCTGTAGCTTCATAGAATTAAATAAAAAATTTTTGATCGAATTTGAATAGATGAATGTTGAGTAATATTCATTATAAGTTAAAAAAAAATTTGGCTGCAGCTTTCCTTTATAGGCACCTAAACTTTAAATGAAGATTACTCGTCAATTAACTAGTCAAATTCGATCAAATTATTTTTTTTAATTCTATGTAATTATAGAATTAAAATAAAAAAAAATGATCAGATTTGACTAGGTAATTGCCAAGTAAACTTCGCTCAAAGTTTAGGTGCCTATAAAAGGAAAGCTGTGGCCAAATTTTTTTTAAATTATGATGAATATTTCTTTATTATTAGCTATTCAAATTCAACTAAATTTTTTTTTATTTTAATTATATGAACCATAGAATTAAAATAAAAAAAGTTTCATCGAATTTGGATAGTTGATTGTCAAGAAATCTTTGTTTAAAGTATAAAAGAGAAAAAATTTGGGGCTTAAAGAACACTGACCTCAGTGATCAATGATCACATGATAAACATATCATGACGTCATTTGTTTACCAGAACTAAACAAACTGATCTAAACTAACCCCTACCCTAACCCTAAACTAACCCTAACTTAGGCCGAGTAATACTGTAATAATCACAGAGTTCAGTGTTCTTTAATCTTTCCAAAATTCATCGGATTTTGTTTTTTTCCAATTTTCTATATTTTTTTTTTAAGCTTCTAGCAAAGATTTCTCGACAGAAAACTATCCTAATTCAATAAATTTTTTTTTATTTTAATTCCACAGATGTATTGAATTAAAATAAATTATTTTATTAAGTTTAATTGAGTGGTTAGTAGGAAAATATTGCTAAGATTTTAAAAAAATGGTCAAAAATTAGAAATAAACAATTTTTGATTGGCTAATCAAATGTTCTAGAATGCAGATTAGTCAGTGCCACTGGGGGCTTAACAATCGCTTTCGATGTACAGGAAAACACAAGCAAAATTTCCAGAAAATCAATTTATAAATAAGGATATATTGCACCAAGAAACAATCTGAGATAAAATAAACAGATCGCCAAGCATGAAACAAACAAAAATTATTAAAAATTACCACCAAGCAACATGATACGAGTACCAAGAAATTCAGATAATACTTATCAAAGCTGATGAATATTAGCAACGAATATATTATACTTAAATATATACTTTAGAAAAATAAACTACACAATAGCATAATAGCTAAATAGTTAGATAGTTTAGAAAATTAATATTGTACTGATTTGTATTATTCAAAATGTATTTAAATATCAAAATTTCACCTTAGCAAACTTCATGCATGTAATTTCAAATTTAACTCCTTATATTCGACACTTATAATTCCTCACATATAAAAATTACTTTGATAAGTAAAAATATTTCATATAAGTCAATTTATGACTACCATTGTATATAAATTCAAAAATATAGAAACATATAGCAATTCATTATTATTAGTTATTCTTGTAATATTTTTAATGATTTTAACAACACCCCTTATATTAGTAACAGCATTGATTGCTGAACATCTTATTTATCGAAGCTTAAACTATTGAATTAAAAACTACTCTTGTATATCGATATCATATTTTATTAATAAAGAATCTTTTATATTAAATAAACTATTATCTTATCAAATATCTATTGTATAATTAAATAACTTGTTAAGTAATATACTTACCGGATTGAACCCCAATAACAAAGAGAATTTAGTGAATAAAGAGACTAATTTACTCAACAGTAAACTCTTAGACTGATCCTATATTATTGGAAACAATAAAAGTGAAACTATTTTATATAAATATTCATATATTATTTATCTTGACAATACTCACATTATATTTAAAACAAACTCAAGCACAGATTATTATTTCTATTCTGATTACACAAACATCAATGACTACAACTCTAAGCTCTACACAATTAAGCCAAATAAGCCAAACTATATTCCTGAATATGCAACTAACTATTGTTATAATAACACTGATGCCAACAAACAATCCAAACAATACTTTAGTCACTATTATTAAAGTTTTAAATGCATTATTAACCATATTAACAACAATAATTACAACTTTTATTATTTGCTTTAAACATATACAAAAGAAAAAGAAACAATATAAAAGTCAATTCAACAACGTACATAGCAATGCACACCATTTACACAACCACCAAATAATACTCTAACTCCACAACAAATCTAACAATTAGCTCCACAATTAATACAACCATAATCACAATCATGACAACAATTCTCTGCAGTAGAAACTAGATTACTATTACATTTTAAATCTGAAAAGAAAGCTAAATTTGCAAAAGTAAACACCCTGAATTAATCAGGATCTGAAGATGGATATTCTACTTGAAACTAATCTATTATACTTTAATATCTATTGTTTATGAACCCAAATAAACAAATATTAATCATAACTTTAATTGCAATTATACTTGCAGCTAGACTAACAGCAATACTTTTATTGAATCACAAAACGTACAAATTATAATATCAATTATTATTCTAATTCAAACTACAATATTAGGAATAGTCATTGTACTATTAGCCACTTTGATACCTTACCAATTTAATGAAAACAGTCTAAACAATAGCTTCAACCTTAATATCTGAAACAACAACTTGTACCAATTCAATATTTGAACCACCTGCATCAACAATACTTTTTTTTACTTGTCATAAAAAGAAACAACAAAGAAATAGAAAAAGAGGACCAAGTAGAGCATCACAGAAACTGCTACCAAGCATAATATCTCAATATTCACCCCAAATCTTATCAGGAGAAATACCCTTCTCAATAGACTTTCAAAGAGAAATAGATAAAGACATTTATTACCAAAATATCTACCATTAAATGTGTTTTACATGAAGAAATAAAAAGAAAAGAAGAAACCCAAAGAAACAAATAAACTTTTCAAATCAAAACTACCAAACAAACTAACACTATCTATATAATTTGATACTACAACAGATAGCAAATCTACCCCAAAATTAACAACAAAAAATAATAAAATATTTACAACAAAACCCATTCAGACCAAATACTCAAAGAATTAATCATTTATTTAGATATAAATGAAACTCTTTATATTATTATTAATTTTAATAAGGATAGTTGCAGGACAACAACAATTCACTTTTATAACACTCACTATATCAACTGTAACCCAAATTGTAACACCAACTGGTACAACTATTATCCAGACAGTATTAACTACAGAAACTTCAACACCAGGATACTTTAATAATCAAAACATTATAGACCAAGATATTATATCTATGATACTAGTAATACTAATAGCAGAAGTAATCATCTGGACAAAACATAATCAGAAAACTCAAGAAAAACTTGATATAGCAAAAAACTACATTAATAGTCAAATATGAACAGGAGAAATAGTTAACAATACTATAACACCAATAACAATGCAAGTAGTTTAATAACAAACCTACCAAACATATTTAACTTTAAAAATACACCAAATTCAAGATATTGTAAAGATGATGAATCTAAACCCTGTACAGAACTCAAAACAACAGACTAAATACTAAAAGAATTAGAACAACAGGAAAAACAAATACTCAAATCAAAATATCAACAATTAATCTTACAAGAAAAAAATATCTATCAGAAAGCAAAAATAATTATTAACCAAAGAAAAACTACTAGTACAGACGTAGTATTTGCATACTTAGTATTTTTAATAAGAAAAGGAGAATCAGACAAGTATATTGAAGCAATTGCAAAAACATACTAACAAGATTTAGATACTATAAAGAAACACACTAAAGTAAAATATATATGCAAAGTCAAGAATAAAGACAACCCCAATATAGAGTAACCAGATTAGCGAATTATGAATTTTAACAGTGGATATTCAAATATCCAATATCAAAATATAGATTAGAAGTAAGAAAGTATTATCAAACAGCATTTACAAGATATTTTAAACAAACCACTTCAATACTCAACACTATCCAGTAAAGATAAATTAAAGATAGTAAGGATAATACAAAACCAAGACAAAAGTATTTTAACAAACAGTTTACAAAAATTATTATACCAAACTACAAAAAAGAAGTATTTAACCATATAAAGTATGGACATATCCTTAATAGATATGACATAATATATAGAGGACTATTAATTGCAAACCAAAAAAAAGAAGACTATATTCAATATTGTCTATTAGCAAACATACTACCAATATTAAACATAAATGACACCATGAAATAAATAGTAATACTGAACAAATAATCCAGGAACTACAAGACAAAGAACTTACAATAGAAAACAGAATTCAAAAACTTAAAAAGAAAATTAATCAAAGAAACAGTGAAATACAACAACTTTGAACTAAAAAAGAAAAGTGGTAACAAGTTAAACTGTAGATACATTGGAGAATCAAAGAACTAAATCTATAACTGACAAAACTCTATACAAATTAACAACAAAATAAACAAATAAATGGCAGACAAATAAATTTGTCAACATAACCAATTAGAACTTTAATGAACTAATGGAAAACTGGAAATGCAATGGCACAAACTGGCTAGAATGGAGTATAGAATTTGAAAAAAAGATACAAAGAAAAATACTATTAGAATTATGAGCAACAGGATATTTTACTGGAAACTCTAAGAAAGGATGGACAAGATTCAAAACAAATGACAACTCAATAAAGAATACAACAACTAGAATGTTTAATGTATACTTTATGAAACTAGTAATCAACAAAATAGCTATACAATGCTTTACAATAGAATTATACAGAAAATACTTAGCAAAAGCAGCATTATTCAATTGCTACTTTTGTAGTGACTTTGATAAAGGAAAAAGAATTCCATCATACGAATGAGAATGTCCCTACGACACCAGTGCTACTATAGTAAATGATGCTGATACAATAATATTAAACCCTATTAGATTTTCAAAGAAACTAAATAACAAATTTACAAAAACAAATATCAGAAATAACAAGAAAACAGGACCAGACACTCTTGACTTTTATGATGATACTACAGATATAAAGTCAACACAAGTATCATTTAGACTATGGATAAACACACAGAATATCATCTCAGAATTTATATTAGAAGTATAGTGAGCATTTAGAAAATTAAGATTTAACTTACGGTTGCAAAAAATGTATATGAAGATGAAGAATTCGTAGATGAATTCAATAGACAAATTGAAATATCAAATTATAAGCAAAATTTTGCAACAGGTTTAAAATTATTAATAATGAATACTCTATCAACTGAAAGACACCAAACAGAAAACTATTAGAGTCAAATGAAATCATAAGAATCAAATATCAACTCTAAAAAGAAATTTTGGAATGCATTATATAAAACATATAAATACTATAAGGACTCACAAGTAGGAACTTATTTTAAAAGTAAAAACCCTCAATAACAAATGAATATTAATTACATTCAAAAGAAACCTTGAAAACAAAGAAACCAGAACCATAAAGAAAAAGAATTCTACAATACTAAAAAACCTAGAAAATATCAACGGTGACAATATAATTATCAAATAGTTGATATCAGTTAATCAAAATGTTTCAATTGTGGAAAAGTAGACCACTTCTTTAGAGAATGCCCTACCAAAGAAACTTTCAAGAATTTTAGATCTTTCTACAATAAAGAAAAAGGAAGACGTAAAAATAGTAATAACCAAAACCAAAACAATAGCAAGAAAAAAAAATAGAGGAAAACTTTTAACCAAAAGAAACCAGGAAGAAAATGAAGAAATAATCTACTGCCACAATTTGAACATAAACCACAAACTATTTCACAATTTCAACAAAATCAAAATGTAACAGAAATTGGTCAAAAATCAAAAAACAATTTTAACAAATTTAAACAACAATGACAAGGAAGACAATCATAAAACTTTATAAAACAAAAATGAACACTCTACCAAGCCAGACAAGCTAAATTTAACCCAAGACAATGGAATCTTGATAAAGAAATATCTTAAAAAGAATTTTGACAAAGAAGGAAAATTCATAACTAGAAAACCTACTTGTACAATCTGCAAATTGTTTACTCATAATATAGTGGATTGCTATAAAAATATATCACCCATGGAAACCAATAACTTTCACAAAAATAAAGAATATGAAGATTTCTAAAGTTTTCAAGAATTCCAAAAAGCAAAAAATGTTTACCAAAACAGTGTAGACAATTATAGGAAATATCTACACTAGAATCAATTACCAACAACCTAGAAAATATACATTTTACATAGAAGACATGCCCTATACTCGTGACTTATCTATCTCCACAAATATACACTGGCTGTATAGAAGAGTTTAATAAATTAAAGAATAAATGTAATAACAAAGAAATATATACATTTATTAAAGAAAATATTAACCAAGAAATAAATACTGCCATATATAAAAAATTATACTTCCCAAATAAAACCATAATAAATTCTAAGAAACCTAAAGAAGCAAAAGGATTCTATCTTACTGCACTAGTAAATAATAAGCCAATGGAATTAAAACTAGATAAAAGATCTACTAACACCATAATGAGCATAAATCATACTAAAAAATTAGGAATGCATAGACTTACAAAAAAACCAGCCACTGCTAAAGCAGTAGAAAACCATGTGCAAATACTTAGAAAAATGCTCGTAAATATTAAAATTAATGAATTCTTAACCACAGATATAAAAATAGATGTCCTAAATACATATTCTAAATATATACTACTAAGACCACCCCAATTTGATTCTCTGTTTAACATAACACTAATAAATAATCTGCAACTCTAAACATAGGGGGGGAGTAAAAAACATGAGATTTGATTGGATAGAAAAATTTTTTTTTAAACAGTTAATATGATTTTTATATTAAGTGTTGTTTATTACCCCCTCTATCTGAGTCAAAAAGAGAGGGGGGGTTATGTTAAACAGAGTTTTAACTTGGTGTGGCCTAAGTAATAAAACCCAATCTGAACTTGGAATAACCAAAGATACCAAAAACCAAATCATTTTAATTAATAACCAACTAGTTATTAACCAATGAAACCTTAGCTGCTGCAATGGTATAGTCAATGCATCTGAAAGGTACTTCAGTATTGAGAATAATATACACTATGATCACTGACTTTCAGGTAACTTTGACTTGAACAATCATGTTTAATTTAGCTAAAGACAAGACCACAAGGTGCCTAACATTAATAGTTATCACCTGCAAAGGACCTATCCGCACCAACAAAATACTCACAACATTACTATAAAAGCATCTACGTAAACAATAAAGGATTCCAATTCAACAAACAATATTTAAATCAAGAAAAGGCACAACATAATGACATCTCTTCTACCATACAATTTACCAGAAAAAGCATAAGTGAAGTACCTATAGCTATGTTCTATAAACAATATGAACTAAACCAACAAAGAAAGAAATTAATAGGATTAACATGTGATAGATACTGGCACAAAATAGTAGAAGCAGTAGTTCAAACTAATTGTAATATTGTACAAATATTCGTACAATATATACTAATACCTAATATACAGAATTATGTTGAATATAAAGGAAATTAACATACATTGCAAAGAGGAGAAATAGATATCTTAAATGATACTAATATAATTAATAGAAATATACTTACAAAGTTAGAAATAATTATACATGCATCAATGGGATTAAAATAAGTAACACTTTATTAAATAGACAAGAAGAAATACAATAGCAAAATATATGAATCGCTGAAGAAAT